TAACTCTTACATATTAGTTTAACCCATCTCCATTAATCTTGTATATCCCACATGGCTGTGGCTTACTGGAGATTCTAACCAGAGTCCTTCTCAGGCAAAAGATCCATGAGTGATCTCACTCTGCCCTTATTCCCAGCAATCAATTCTGTATTCACTTACCTAAGGTCTGCCCTATCAGGCCCAAGGCAGTTTCTTTATTCGTTAACCAATGAAAGCAACACATGAACAGGAGAACCTCCTACAACATTTCCCCTTTTCTGTTTAAACAAAAAGGAAGGCTTTAACTTTAACATAGTAAAATTACATATAACAAAACAGGTATCAAATAAGAATTACAGTTGTAATACTTATATTTACTTTTTCTTTTATTATAACTAGGGAGAACTATAACTATAAATTTTTCAACTCCATCAAAGACTCCACAAGGATATAATATTACCTAAGTAAACAGAAATTTTACTAATTTCTTCCAAAATTCTAGAAATGACAGAGACATCTTGCTCCCTGGACAGTTACCCAAAATTCTTCTATACCATTGGGGCATCCATCTTCAGCCTTCAGGCCCACAGTATCCAGAAGACTTTTCCATGAAGCAGGAAATTTCAAAGACAGTTCTGCCTATATTGGCAGTTTTCAGTTATGCTCTTACATGTCCTACAGATTGTCTCACAGACTCTTTCATGAAGCAGGAACCCTAAAGGAACATCTCACCTTTAGGCAAGTTCAGCAGTCATCTCTCTGTGGGAACTGCATGTCCAGTGAAGCAGTCCAGGCAAGAGCAGTTTCTTGCCCAAATAGCTAGCAAACTCCATAAGAAGCCTCTTCAATGCCCATCTTCCTCTTGAAGTAGCTAGTGCTGCCAGGAGCAGAAGTGTCTCATTGTTATGAAAAGTCCTAAGTTATTAAAACATTTAAATGACATACTCTGAATGTTTCTGAAAGACTTGAAGAATACCTATCTAACTGAACTATATCTATGCACATCTAGAAAATCTTACTAACATGACTACAAGCTTGGCTATTATACATGATTATCCATTAACCTATATTTTTTTAATTATACATTACAATTTTAAATGAGCTACACAAATATGAGACCTTAATAAAGAGCAGAAATACATATACATATAACAAAATTGACCTTAAATTTGTATCAATAAACCAAGATTCATACCAATGCAAATTATTAATATCTATATCATATCCCCCATTAAATGTAAACAAACATTTCAAAACAATATTTGGGATAATGGGCAGTTTTTTCTCTCCAAACTGCTTCATGCTCTATGGGGGCGCTGTTAATCAGGTCTTTCATGGTGTATCCTGTGTGCTAGGTTCATTTCAGTCAGCAGTTGAGTGAAGTAAGTTTTTAAGGGTGTTGATGGCAACCTTTCAGGAGACCTTGGTTCATGAAACCATATTTTCCTGGAGGCAACCAACAGGTTCTCATCGTCTTTGAAAACAAAAGAAGAACCTCTTTTCCAAAGCACCATGTTCTTAGATCCAAATTTGGAAGTTATGATACCTTTATAATATACATGCTGGTTTAGCTTAGCAGCCCATACAATGAAATGTCTCTCTGTACTTAGCTCCTTACAGTGAAAAAACTCAAAGAAAACACAATAATATACATAATCCAGACTCTCTATGAATTTTCCATCTTTACATGGCTTATTTTTTACTCCCTTTAATCTATGATTATCTGTACTCTATCCCTTTAAAGACTTTACCTTTTTTTTAAAAAAAAAAGCATAAACTTTATTTTATGACT